ATACCCACTATTGCAGCATTAAAAAAACATCTTGGCACATGGTGAATAAAACATACAAGATAAAATGTAAAAATCAGTCTTCTTCCTGTATTTTACTCTTTTTAGTTCACAAGCTTTAGTATATAATTTCTTCCCCCCTTTTTTGGGCGGAGGGCACACCCAGCGGTGCTCAGGGCTTACTCCAAGCTCTGTTCTCAGGGGTCACTCCTAGTGGTGCTCTGGGGCTGTGTGTGGTGCTGGGTATTGAACCCTGGTCGGTGCGTGCAGGGCGAACACTGAACCCCTTTACTGTTCTCTCACCTACCAGTCTAAATTTCTTCGTAGGAAAAAAATACCGTTTGTGCAATATTGATTGGAACTATTGATCTTTAAAAAACGGAATTCTATGAATGAACCTTCTTACTTCTCTTCTCTCCTTGGTTTATGCTTTCACCCACCATGTCTTGGAGAGCCTCTTATCCAGCACACACAGCTGCATAGGCCCCCGTGTTCCTTGGCTTATAATGGCTGAGAATGCATTCTTTGTGTAGTTGGAGCATAATTAAGACATCGTCTGCCAGTGGGTAATTAAAGGGTTACACAGAACGTCTTTGTACGTGTGTATTTCTGAGAAATTTGAGTAAGTCCAGAATACTCGGGGCAGAGGTGGTGGTGCTGCGGGAGGGCTTTGGGCTGGTGCCTCATGCCTGCCGCATGCTCTTCCTCACACTCCTGGCCCAGCCCCAGAGCTCTCTGCCTCCTTGGGAACTTTTCCCTTTGATAGATTTTTTCCAATGCTAAATTTAAACCTTTTTTTTTTCTAAACTGTGCTCGCTGATGATAAAAATTGGGTTGATATCTTAGGTATTTAATACTATTTCAGGGAAGTTGTCTCAGAAATAGTTTTTAGGTTTACTGATTTAACTTGAGATGTATGACTTGACTTGGATCATAGGAAGAAGAACCCATGTGGGGGGAAAAAAGAGAGAAACTGTTTTCTCTGCAAATGGTCAAGAAAATCTGGGAAAGGTTATATCTGTCTTTTATATTACTTCTATTTCCTATTCTCTCCCTGTGTATGGGTGAGATCTTATTTCACTTTCTGTGCCTTTTGTGGCCTTTCATGCAACTCTGCTTTTTCCGCAGTAGTACTTCGGTTTCCTCAAAACGTAGCTGTTTCTACCTATTAGGGATAATGTTAGTGAAAAATGACATTTTTGGGGTTAATTTTATACATACATCGTTAGTACAATATTTCAGGAAAATAGTTTCAAATTGTATCAGCTATTTTCTAAATACTCATTTAAAGAAGAATGAGGAGGGGACTGGAATGTCAGTTCCGTGGGCAGAACACTTGCCTGTGACTGACCTTGGTTGGTCCTTGTCCCCTGGCCTCTGCCGAGGGCGGGAGCAGGAGAACAGCACAGAGCCAGCGAGTGTCAACTTTTCTGTTTTTTTAATTTTTCTCTTTGGATGGTGTGAGGAATGGTATCCAGGTCTCACGTATACTGAGATTCCCTGTTTTTAAAAAGAAAATAGTTAATAGTTTAGAAGAATATAATTGACAGTGTTCTGAAGAGTAGCCAAAGAAATGAACAGATTTTAGCCCTGAAAGGTTTAATTTCACTTAGTTGTAAGATAACTCAGAAATGCCCTTCATAGGATATTTGAAGAGAAGAATTACTTGGCGATTACATTTCAGTATTTTATCTCCCAGCTGGAAGGGCTGGCGCTTTCCTGTGGGGGCGTGGGTTGGTGCCCACACCGCTGCATTGGTCTCCCTGGCGCTGCTGGCTGTGGCCCCCGAGCCGGAGAGCAGCAAGTAAATACAAAACCTGGCCCTGCGCCACTGGCTGCGGTCGTGCCTCACAGATCCGAGGCCCAGTTCCGGTTCAGTCCCGGGCACCCCTCGGACAGCTGCGGGAGTGCTCGGGAGAGGTCACCAGGCACTGTGGGTCTCGAAACCCGAGCAAGTAGAAATGAATCAAACTAAGTGAAAAAATGAAAAAATGGCTTTGTCCTTTAGATTTTAGGTTTGCTACTTAAGGCTTGTATAAGTAAGATCAGGTTGTTTTGTTTTTTTTAGTGGTGGGCATACGATGATGGCTCTTTCATTTGACAGCTTATCCAGGTGAATGTATGCAAGCTGCAGCGGCAGTTTGGAAACGGATTCCCACGTCTGGAAGCACACCCCCCCCCAAGGCTAGAACCAGGTTCTGGGTCCTTGTTTCTGTGTGTATTAGGGCATAATACCTGAAGAAAAATAGCAGATGGGAAGTGATTGTTATTGTTATCGTTATTGTTATTTTGTTTACCTTGTTATTTTTAGCTGTTTAATGTTTCTTTCTTGATGATTGATAAAAGAGCATGTACACTTCAATTGATCACAAGTGTGTTTGAATTTAATCAGTCATTCATGGCTGCAAGCTGTTCTAGTCTGTAGCCACTGATTTGGGGATGTGGTTACCTTTGAAACCACATTCCACACTGAAACCTTAACTATTGTGATTTCTTGAGCTTGGTGGAGGGCATCTTTGTTAATTTCACAGTCTGCTAGAAGTTGGTTTTAACAGAATGTACCAAAGATTTGATATTTTTTGTGGATGGCTTTCTTTTTAGTTGCCATATTGTTTTTGTTAATTGCTATGGTAAAACGTGAATTTACTGCCAGCCAAGTTTGAAAGGGTAGGTTTTATTTTTCGATTTTGTTTTGTTTTGAAGCCACACCCGGCGGTGCTCAGGGCTTACTCCTGGCTCTGAGCACAGGGATCACTCTCTGGTACTATGTGGATGGTAGATTTGAAATATTGCCTATTTTTTTTCTGCATCATGCAGGAATAGTATAATTATTTATTTATTTATTTTTATAATTTATTTATTTATTTATTGAATCACTGTGGGAAAAGTTACAAAGCTTTCAGGTTTAGGTCTCGGTCATGCAAATATCAAACACATTTCCCTTTACCAATACTTAATTTTCACCACGAAGAACCCCAATAAACCCTCACCCCCACCCCTCCCAATTCCTGTGAGGCAGATGAATTCTAGTTAACACTATCTACTTTGACTAGATTCATTGTTTCGATAAAAGACGCACCATTATTATTTAGAGTTTATCCCCCAAATGAGACCTGCTGAAAAAGCATTGTGAAATGATTTGCTTTCTACAGCTGGGTTCAAGAATTAAACGATGTTTTGGATTTCTGCTATTTTACTTATTAACCCTGGAAGTATTTCTACTGAGAGTCAGATAATTAAGAGATTGGTTTCTGTGCTCTGGAGTCGTGGCCGTGCCGGAGAGCCGCTCGTGGGGGGCAACTGGTGACCTCGGTAGGGCGTGAAGGATGGACCGGAACGCCCCCCTTCCCATGAGGTTTTAGTCGCCCCATCACCACCGGCTCATACCTGGCTCTCCACAAGGCTCCCATGCGGCTGCCATCTTTCTTTCCAGAGGGGAGAAGGAGGAATAGTATAATTATTAAAATGTTTGCTTCCTAACATCTTATCCCCCTATTAAAACTATTTAAGCATGTATAACTATTTAAAGACATATTAATAATGAAATATCTTTTTAAATTTTTGCTTTTTGGCTCATACCTGGTGATGCTCAGGGGTCACTTCCTGTTCTGCACTCAGGAATCATTCCTGGTGGTGCACGGGAGATCTATGTGAGATGCTGGGGATCAGACCCTGGCTGGCTATGTGAAAGGGAAGCACCATACCAGCTGCACTATCAGTTCGGTTTTTAAAACGTTTTTAAAATGTAAATTTTATTATAAAATTTCAAGTTAAAGTAGTGTTAATGTGATTGAAATTGAGTATTTATTTTTGACCAACTAGTTCAGGGACTCGAACTGGGGCTCTGCCTGCTTGCAAAGCAAGCACCCGACCCTTTTGTTTGTATTTTAATTATCTTAATGATGGATATATTTGTATTTATAAGTCTTTTTTTCTCAAAAAAAAGTTTGGTGACAATATGGTACCTTTGCTTCAGTGTTCATTATCTTCATTAAATTTGTGACTGTTCCTATCTGGTGATGTTTTCTAAGTGTTTTTTTGTTTGTTTGTTTGTTTGGGGGCTACACCCATCAGTGCTCAGGGCTTCTGGCTCTTCACTCAGGGATCACTTCTAGGGCTGGCTGGGGGACAGTGGGGTTCTGGGGATTGAACTCAGCTCAGCTGCAAGCATGGCAAGTGCCCTATCCTCTACTCTCTCTCTGGTCCCGAGTTTTTTTGTTGCTATTTTGCTTGAAATTAAACACTGTCGATTTATTTCTTGGTGCACGCATCTCCTTTTAGTTGTTAATAAAAATATAATAAATTAGTAACACAAAAGTAATGATAACAATAACTATTTTCTTGGTTTTCGGTGACGCTCGGTGGTGCTCAGGGGGTTTTGGTTTCTGGCTTTTGGCCATGCTCCAAGGGCTGTGCGGTGCTGGGGTGGGACCGGCCTGCCACCCTCGGAGATGCATACTGACACTCCCACTTACCTCCCTGGCCTGTTTTTATTTTTGGACACTTTTAATATATTTCAGGAATGTGTATCATTTGGTGTGTTATGTATATCTCCCCTCCAATTTGCTTTATATCAGACTTATTTTCCTTTTTCTCCTCTTTTCTTTCTGTTTTTTGGGCCATACCTGGCAGTGCTTATGGCTTATTCCTGGCTCTGCACACAAGGATAACTCCTGGCGGGGCTCGAGGCTCCTTCCATAGTTCCAGGGGCTGAACTTGGGACCGCCTTGTGCAAGGCAAGCACCCCACTCACTGTACTATTTCTAACCCTAGACTCATTTCTCATAATGAATTAGATTAGCGTTTTATAGTTTAATGTCAGAATTGAAAATCTATGTTTATTATACTGGCTTTTGGAAATGGATTTTAAAGTTGGGGACATAACTAAATTTCTTGAGTTAAAGTTTTCCATAACGTGTACCTTTCGTAATTTGAAATTAAAAAGTCAAATAGGCATATAAAACTAATTTGTTATGCTTTGTTGCCAAACTTGGTCTTTCTAGGCGGTTGCACTTAAGCATGAACATTGACGACAAACTGGAAGGATTGTTTCTTAAATGTGGCGGCGTAGACGAGATGCAGTCTTCCAGGGCAATGGTGGTGATGGGTGGCGTGTCGGGCCAGGCGGCCGTGTCTGCAGAGCTGCAGGAGTCGGTCCTTCAGGATCGGAGCATGCCTCACCCGGAGATCCTCGCTGCCGACGAAGTGCTACAGGAAAGCGAAATGAGGCAGCAGGACATGATCCCTCATGACGAGCTCATGGTGCACGAGGAGACGGTGAAGAACGATGAGGAGCAGATGGAAACCCATGAAAGGCTTCCGCAGGGGCTCCAGTACGCACTTAATGTCCCCGTAAGTAGTCCTTTACAGCGACTGATGCTGTGCCACACTTGGGGACATTTCAGAACCTGTTGGAAGGCTAAGTCATCCAAATGGGTGTTCTTTCAGATTTTTTTCTTCTTGTTTAGGTTCCGTGGTTACAGTAGGATTTACGTGGTGGATTTGATGTGCACATTACCTTCCCTGGCCTCCCCCTAGCTGTCCTTAGATCACTCCCAGTCCACCTCTCCCTGCCCTTCCGTGGAGTTCTTAAATAGATAAACGAGGATCCACAGCACTTTAGAAGGGCCCTGGTTGATACAAATTTGGAAGAGCAAAATTAGGTCAGGCTATTGCTTACATCTTAGAAACTTTCTTAGGATGAACATTGATTTTTTTTTTAATACGGATTGTAGTATATTAAATTTTAAAGTGATTGTTAATTTAAATTGTTAGCGAACAGCTATTGTTAATATATAATATGCTAATGGGCACAGAACAGTAGTACAGCGGATGGGGTGTTTGCCTTGCGTGTGGCTGACGCAGCTTTGATCGGCAGCCCCACATGCTGTCCCCAGCCCCTCTGGGGGTGACCCCTGAGCACAGAGCCATTAGGAAGCTCTGGGCACTGCAAAAGCCAAAAACCCCTCAAAAATTAACTTCTGGATTTCTCCTTTGAGAGTGAGAAAGAGTAGAAAGATTGGATTTTTGGCATAACTTGAGAAAGATCAACCCTTGTGGATTTTTTTTTCCTTTTTGGGTCACACCCTGCGATGCACAGGGGTTACTCCTGGCTCTGCACTCAGGAATCACTCCTGGCGGTGTGCTCGGGGGACCATATGGGTTGCTGGGAATCGAACCCGGGTCGGCCATGTGCAAGGCAAACGCCCTAGCAGCTGTGCTATTGCGCCAGCCCCAACCCTTGTGGATTTTTAAAAAATTCTGTGACCCTGTGACTCCTGCAATCATTCCCGCCTTCTTTAAAGTGTGTGAGCCGAGTTCCTCTGTCATTTTTGTCTTGTATTTTCATTTGTACCTCCTAACTGGAAAACCACAATCACTTTGCAATCCTCCACTCCCCATCCCCCTTTCTCTGTGATATTAATTCTGGATTATTTTTTAGTGCATGTGCTTTTACTTCCAGATAATCATTTATCCTGCTTGTAATATTCCCCTCAGACATATGCGTTCTCCCTGATCTTCATCCTTAAAAGTGCTTAATCACCGCTAGCCTGCCGCTTCTGTCCAGTCTAAGTTGAATTCTGCAGTGGGGACTTGTTGACTGTATGTTCAGTGTCTGTCTCCCAGAGATTGTAGGCTTTGTGAGAATTTAGATTGAAAAAAAATTTTTTTTTTCATTATATTCCAGCTATTGACACATGGAGTGAATGAATGAATAAAACTACTTAATTTTGGTCATGTTCTAACACATGCATTTACCTAGGCTTTTCGCTTTGGGTTAGGTGGGGAGAATGCTGGATCGTCCCCAGCAGTGCTTCAGGGCCATCCCTGGCCTTGTGCTCACCCTGTCAGGTCCCGAGGGACCGTAATGTGGTGCTGGGAATCTGCACCCCTGTTGTGGACCATGGCTTCCTGTAGGAAGCAGATGTGCCACTGCCTGGACTGTCTCTTCACCCCTGTGGTCCTCGGCTCCTGTTCAGTCCGTTACAATGGCCTTTCTCATTTTCAGTGTTGTTGTGGTGGATTTTGTTATTTAGTGCACATGTTAGACCACTTGTGTACACTGAGAATCCATCCCACTGGGTTGTTGATGTTCGTTTAAGCTTTGTTGGATTCAGTATGCTAATATTTTGTTGGAGATTTTGCATCTGTGTCCATGCATCTGTTCTAGTTGGTTGGTTGTTTTTGCCTTCTTTTCTGGGGCCAATCTAGCTGTGCTACAGGATCACTCCTGGCAGGGTACCATATGCAGTGCAGGAATTGGAGCACACAAATCCCTGTGCTAGCTCTCTGGCTCCTGGTCTAGCTACCTTTTCTTCCAATATCTTTCATTTTGATATTAGCGTAGCCTCGCTCTATAGAATGAGTTGGCATGGTGGTATGTCTGGAGTAAGTGCTGAACATTGCTGCACAGGGCCTCCAAACCAAGAAAAACCCAAAACCAAAATCCCCAGACCAGGCCCGCCCTGCGCATCCCCCCCAAACCCCCCAACAGTGTTCCCTTTGTTCTGTCATGTGGAGAGACTGTGAAGATTGGTATAACTTCTCATTAAATCCTTAACTGATGAGTAGATTTCACCTGTGAACACAGTAGTCTGTTGATTCTCTTTGGAAGGTTGTGAATTTTTGGTTCTAGTACTTTATACAATAGACCTTTGCAGATGGTCTATTTCTTGTGTGAGCTTTGGCAGTTTGTATCTTCTAGGACTTGGTTCCCCTTGTCTAAATTATCAATTGTGGGATAGAGAGTTGTTTAAAGTACTACTTTATTCTTTTTGTTTTCGTCCAAACCCAGTGCTACTCTGGACTTTCTCCTGACTCTGTGTTCCGGAGTCATTCCTGGAGGTGTTTTGGGGGAAGCATATATGTAAGGTGCCAGGGATTGGACCAGGGTTGGTGCATGCAAGGCAGTTTCCTTACCCCTTGTTTTATTTCGCCAACAGTATTCCTTTAGGGTTTTAATGTGCATACGGTGTTGTAGCGATGTCCTCACTTTGCCTCCTGATTTTCCTAATTTGCGCCTTCTTTTTTTCTTAGCCTGATTAGAAGTTTGACTTTTATTTTTGCTTTCAGGCCATCTTAATTTTCAAGGGTACAGTTTAGTATCATTAACTACATTCATGTTATTTTACATTGTGTTTCTAGAACTGTTTTATTTTGCAAAACTGAAACTCTCATACTCACTGAATGACAAACTTCCATTTCTACTCCCTCAGTAGAAGTTTACTAATTTTATTGATATTTTCAAAGAACCAACCTTTGAGTTTATTTTTTTAATTGATCTTTATAATTTTCTTTTTTAAAAGACCTTTTTTTTCATATCTTAACTAGCACCTTTCTGCTCCCTTTAGACTTAAACATACTGAATTACATTGTCAAGGTTGGCAGTGATTTCTTATATTATTCTGTCACACGACAGTATTAATATGTAATATGTAGGCTACTGTCTTTGGCAGGCTACTGTCTTTTTTTCATCTGCAGGTAAAAATCTGTGGGATTTTTTCTGTTTTCATTTTCCTTTGTTTGCAAGATTGTCAAGTCTCTTCTAAATCTTGAATTTTGACTTTGTTTTCTCAGTAACTGGGCTATAGTAGGAATAAATATTTTGAGTGAAAATACATATTTTGGGAGAGTGGTTCCCTTGGGTGCTCAGAGCTTCCTCCTGTTGCTCCGGTGACACTCTTGGTGGGTGGTGGAGGACCGTATGGGGTGCTGGGAATTGAACCTAAGTTGGCTGCATATAAGGCAAGTGCCCTACCCCTTGTGCTATCTCTCCAGCCCAGAAAATAGTATTTTTAAGAATAATTTTTTTAAAAATTGAGGTAAAGTATGAGGAAAACTTCTTAGATTCTGAATCAGTTTAGATTTGCTGTAAATTTATATAACATGTGGCCCAGCAGGATGTCAAGTATTGTATCATTTTAGGAAATTTCTTTGTGCGGGTGGCAGCTGTAGTACAGTGGAGAAGGCCTTTGCCTCCCTGCGACTGGCCAGGAGTGAACCCTGAGCAGAGCCGGAGTCAGCCCTGAACGAACACAGTTCTATGTTGGATATGGGCCCAAACTGTAGCACTGTCCTCCCGTTGTTCACATCTATTTACTTGAGCAGGCACCAGTACCGTCTCACAACAAATTGTGAGACTTGTTGTTACTGTGTTTGGCATATCGAATACGTCACGGGGAGCTTGCCAGGCTTTGCCGTGTAGGCAAGGCACTCTCAGTGACTTGCCGGGCTCTCCGAGAGGGGCAAAGGAATCGAACGCAGGTCGGCCATGTCGGCCTCGTGCAAGGCAAACGCCCTACCCGCTGTGCTATTGCTCCAGCCCATTCTTACAAATAAAAGGAAAAAATGCTTTAGTTTTTCCCCAGTGCTTAGGAATTTTCACTGAACCTGTTGTTATTAATTTCTAGATTAGTTTCATGTGATAACATTGTTGGATTTCAGTTATTTTCAGTTTTCCACGTAAAGTCTTTTTTTTTTTTTAATTATTGAATCACTGTGGGAAAGGTTACAAAGCTTTCAGGTTTAGGTCTCAGTCATGCAAATATCAAACACATTTCCCTTTACCAATACTTATTTTTTACCATGAAGAACCCCAATAAAACCCCACCCCCCACCCCTCCCAGTCCCTGTGGGGCAGATGAATTCTAGTTAACACTCTATCTGCTTTGATTAGATTCATTGTTTCAATAAAAGATTCACCACTATTTTTTAGAGTTTACCCCCCCCAATCAGACATGCTGAAAAAGCATTGTGAAGTGATTTGCTTTCTACAGCTGGGTTCAAGAATTAAATGTTGGTTTTGGATTTCTGCTATTTTACCTATTGACCCTGGAGGTATTTCTACTTAAAGTCAGATAGTTAAGAAATTGGTTTCTGTGTTCTGGAGTCGTGGCCGTGCTGGAGAGCCACTCGCGGGGGGCAACCGGTGGCCTCGGTAGGGCGTGAAGGGCGGAGCGAAACGCCCCCCTTCCCATGAGGTTTTAGTCGCCCCCACACTCCCGGCTCATACCTGCTGTCCACAAGGCTACCATGTGGCCGCCATCTTTTTTTCCAGAGAGGAGAGGGCGAATGGGGCAACACCCTTTCCCCTCCGGCAGACTTGATGGCCTGGATCAATGCATAGTCCGTTCACTTTTCTGCTCCAAGCTGCTGGGTTCTGCATTAAGTCCTTGTGCTTCTGGGGCCATGGCCGTGCTGGAGAGCCGCTCGCGGGGGACGACTGGTGACCTCGGTAGGACGTAAAGTCTTTTATATCCCATTAAATGTTCTCTTTTGGTGAACATTCTATGTACACTCCAATAGAATATATATTTGGCTATTGGGTGATGAATTACATGTGTCTTAATTCA